ATATATATATATATATATATATATATATATATATATATATTTCAAAAAAGAAGAAAGAAGAAAGAATTCAAGAAAAAAACATATTTGGAATATACAATGTTCTAATGTACTAACTGATGCTTAGAATGCTAAACTATGTTGTAATTATATATAAAATTTCAGTACTTAGATAATTCTTTTAATTATTAATTTATGCAAGTTACATGAGATGGAGGTTAAGTATGAAGATTTGTCCTGAGTATATTTTTAAATGAATTAAATGATTGAATTGAAACAATTATGGATGTGTTTACATGTGGGATGTGATTATAAATGCGTGTAGGATAAATTATTGATAATTTGGAACCTTCCGATATAAAAAAGACTTTGCTGAAATTTTGTTATGATCTTAATGTTAAAAAAAAAAATATGCTCCATTTATCCTTTATGTAGAAATTAAATGGATAAACTAATCTAACTATTAGGGTTATTACATTTACTCTATCATGCATACAATAAATTGTGATATTATATGTGCAAGCCTATTACTAGAAAATGACAAAAAAATCCTGAATAAAAAACACGATACCGTACTATAGATATTGGTATGGTGGTGGAAAGATCAAAGTATTTATATTATAAAATCATGTGATTCTCAGAGTTCAAGTTTCACTAGTATAATAAAGAATTCTATATGTATCACTGCATTAAATATAAATCGTTTAATTCAAAAACTTAAAAATACAACCAGTTGAAAGAAATAAAGTTACCACATGATAAGTTATTTTGTTATATAACAAAAGTATTTAGGAATGACTCACTTTACTGGCTTACCTTGAAAAATAGACATATTTGCATTTGATATAAAGATGGGGAGCTCTGACTTGTTTTCACCTCCCTTGCTGATTTTTAAAGGCAATAATAACAAAAATATTGGATTTATCCAAAAAAAAAAACACTTGTCACAACATGCATTGAAAGAAAAAACAGTTTCATGAAATTATAGATCATGAAGAAATATAACAAAAAAAAATGGAATAAGATGCATATAATAAACAAAAAGATTTTAACAAAAAAACAACCTCATATAAATCTTTTTTATTTTTGCAATGTTGACATTGTGCTATTACAAGAATATTTTACCAATTAATTTTTTTTCCTTCAAGATTTGAAGCACTAATATGCTATAATTAAAGAATAGTTTACTCTATACATGTTTTCCATTTCAATCCACCCTTGCTACAGGGTAAAGAGCACAATTAAAAATAATTATCATAAGAGAATAAACAATCCTAAAACAGAGTTTACAAAACCTACTAACTTGTTTGAGATAATTCTCTAATCATAATCTAGATCCTACAAGAATTTGAAAAGGAAGTGGTATAAAAACATATAAATGATCAAGAACATTAGTATTACTAACTGTTTGAGCTAGCATTAAAGCAAATATTGTCATTAAAATTATTGCCATAACTAGAGTTTAAGAAATCAAAGGATGTAGAAAAAAAATTTGTTAAGATTCCCTAAACATTATGTATACACTATAACAGCAACTCTAACACAGGAGCCAACAGGATAGACATAACCATTTAAAAAAACTATATTTTTACTTATTATTTTTAATTTTAACATATAAATAGCTAAAATGCTTTCTTTTGCTCTAACATGCTATTATACACTTCTTTGTAGAACAACCAAAAGCAAGAGAAAGTACATATATTCTTTGGCCAACGTCTTTTTCCTTTTGTTTTTATCTTTAAAAACAGAATAAAAATAAATAAAAATAAACCTACAAATCTCAAAACCTTATACCTCAGTTTCAAAAATAAAAAAATTTAACAGTAACATATAAAACTAAAAATTTAAAATAATTACATAAATAAATATTAAATTTAAAATTTTTAAATTTAAACTTAAAATTATATCTTTTAACTTTTAACTTTTAACTTTTATATTACTTCATTAATCTTATATTTTATTTTATAAATTACTCATATTAATTATATAATTAATAACATCATGATTATATTATATAAAAAATAACTAAATTAGTTATATAATTATATTAAAATTAGTTTAATATAAAATATATTAAAATATAATTAACTCTTATAAATAACTTTTTACTATTGAAATGCACATAAATAAAAAGCTATATTTACACTATTTAAAAAACAATTTTATTATTTAACTTTTTAATATAGCATCTCCCGTTAAAAATACTCCAATAACACAAAAGAGTTGTATTGATACTAGGAAGTTCGTCCAACCTTCTAACTTATTATACTTCCCCTTTGTATTCCATTTTCCATGCTTGTATGTTTGATCATAATGGTGCCACAAATTTAGATTTTGAACGCATGTGTGCTTCACGCAACTAATGAAAACAAGGATTATATGCGTGTGATTATATTCTGAATATTCATAGTAAAATTATTCTTAAAAACTTTTCTAATAACTTAATTTTTAATTATTGAATCTTGACAAATACACGAGTATATATTTAAATTTTAAAATAGTATTTAAATGTGTGTTAATAGTTGCTTTCAAAGTATTTTTCATTTAAAATATATTAAAATAATATTTTTTAATTTTTAAAAAATTAGTTTTGATATCAATACATTAAAATCCAAAAATAAAAAATTAATAAAAAATCAAAATTTAACAAAACTACGTTTGGATCTAAGTATGAGGTTAATTACCAATTCTCATGAAGCTCATATAATTCTAATTTTGGTGGATATTTGTGGAGTATCAACAAGAGGCATGTGGCTCATTTAATTCTTCCTGAAGGTGCTGCCCTCCTTGTAATCGGGGGAAAAAAATGATCTATGATGATAATACTTATATATTTATTGTAGTAAACAAACAAATTTGAAAACACTATGAAAGAAAGGGAAGCATTGAAGAGGCAGGATACAAGGGGCATAGGGTTGAGGTGGCGGGATGACCCTATTTTATTATTATTATTATTATAAATAAAATGATATTATTTTAAAAAAAACTGAAATAATAATATTTTAAATTATCTAGATTTAATCAAAATAATTTCTTATACAGTTAAGAAAACAATAGAGTTAATGTCATAGGACATGTTATATGAACCAACTTAGAAAAAGTTAATGGGTTAAAGAAACAAAAATTTAATAAAAAAATCTTGAAAATAAAAATAATTTTAATTTTAATATAATATTAATTAGTGTGTATGATTTAAATTAAATGAATTAAGTATGAAATTATAGGTATTTTTTAAATAATGGAGTATTGTCCCGTGAGAAATATGAAAGAGATATAATTTTGATATAAAAAATAGTTTAAGAATATCAAAATTAGATAAAAAAATCCAAGTAATAATAAATTTGATGTGTGAAAGTCCATTGAGAATTATTGAAATAAACTAAAATGTTTTATGTAACAAAAAAAGAAGATCAAGGGGATATAAGAATTAATCTTGGTGAGGTAAGATATGAATATACTATAAGTAAAAGTGAACTAAAAAAAAAAAGATATTTGATTGTTAAATACATTTCATGTGTATTTAATATGGTGGTATATGTTATTTTAATTGAGAATATATTAAAATAAAAATTTTTATTTTTAAATATCAACACATTAAAATTATATAAAAATATTAATTTAATACTTTTAAAATAAAAATAATTAAAAAAACAGATTATAATGCGAAAACTAACTCAATAAATAGTATTAATAAGAAGAAAAAATATTTATTTTGTTCAAAGAGATTCCCAGTCCAATACCATTTAAGCCCGGCCATGCCCAATCTCTTGTCTTGAGCTCCTCTTCCTTACATAACTGCACAGCCACAATAAAAATTTGGGCTACTGGATTGGGCCATTTGAAATTTCTCTCCAGCCTCTCTTCGGGTTGATATTATTATTAAATATAATATAAAAAGAAGCTATGATGAAGAAATTAATATGAATGTAATAAGAATTCTTAAACGAATGCCTAACTTAATTTGAGAAAGAACAATGATTTTGATGCATCTAAACTAATCTGAAAATATTTCAATTATCAAAAAAACTTTTAATCATTTTCGCTTATAGTTTTTCCTTCTTTTACCAGTTGCATCATTAATTTGAAGGAGGATAGAAATTCAAGAATATTTAATAAATAAAACAAACATATTTTTAACCCAATTAAAAAAAAAGAAAGACAGATAAATTAATTTCCTCTGTTATAGTAGTTCTCTCCTCTCGCAAGGTGACAGATTCCAGACACAGTAGCTGAAGTTTCCTTTTTGTTTTCTTCTATTACTTCCGTTCCTTCTGTTGTTTCTTTCGCCTCTTTCTCAAGATAAAAAGGATTTATAATCTGAAATTCTTTCTCTTTAAGATAAATTTTCCACTTTTCTCCAAATGGGTCTCTTGGATTCCCTTCTAAACTGGCTCAGGAGGTAAATTTCCTTTACTTTCTTGATTTTTTTTTTATTTATGCCTTTTATTTTGTGGGGTTTGTTTGCGCTTCCAATTTTGTTTGGTTGTTGAGAAAGTTTTGGAAAAAGATGTGACCTTTTTATTGTTATACGCTGATTAGTTGAACTAAATTTAATTAATTTCTTGATAAATTATTGTGCTTCATATCCGTTTGGTTTGCTAATGATTTTGAGGTTATAAAAGTTTAGATTTTGATAGACCAGAAGTAGACTGTGATAGGAAACATTGTATGCAACAAGAAATCATTCAAATCGGACAGAAATTTGGAGGATTTTGTGCGGTTTTTTTTTATTATTATTATTTTCTGCTATGGGCTGATATGTAGGTTGTGAACTTTACATTGATCTTTTTAGCTCTCTCAAGATTAAAATTCAAGACAAGAATTTGTCACGGGAGAGCATTTCACTGTGGAGTTTCTTTCAAGCTTTTTTGTTTATTTCTTAAATAAAATTCAGAAACATGGATGGATGCTTGTTTGCTATATTTTAATAAAGAAACAGGTGATTTTGGAAATTGGTATGCTAGATGCGGATAGTTCATACAAATGCAGAAAAGGAATAAAATGATGTTGGAAAATACAGATTGGTATAAATGAATAGAGGATTTGAGGTTTGTGCTTCAGCATATAAGAAGGAAGCATTTGGATATAAAGCAGATGCCATACGAAGGGAATAACTAGTATATAATTTGCTGGACATGAATAAAAGAGAGAGGCTCTTTCACTTTTTACAACTTCATGAATTAGGAGTAGAAAATCATTGCATCATAGTGTTACGGCCTGTTTTTCAAATGGATAGTTGTTCTTCGTCTGTGGTTAATGCTATTGATCCTATCAAGAAAATTAAGATTAGCTGTTCTGAAGATCAATAATATGCAAGAAAATACTGCAGGACTGTGGTGGAGATAAGATCTTTTTAATTTTATATGAGTTTGTCTTGCATGTGATTAGATTACTGTCTCTTGAACCTGAGCAAAATTGGAAGCCATTGTAGGAAGAGGAGGGTGGGGGGGGTTCAATTTTGTTCGTTTCTGGTTCTCTGCAACTTATTGTTTTGGCAATACTAGTAGAAATGATCTTTTTGATTTGTGTCATAGAACATTTTTGGCTTACAAAGAGTCAAACCCCTTCCTAGTAAGAGAAAGCAACTGTGGTCAAATGATTATGTTATGAACTTCTAGAATGTTGGTTCACATTCACATGGGATGTTGTTGACTTATCTAAGTGTGCACAACTTCTTTTCATCCTTAATGCTGTTTGTAATCTGCTTTTAGTTTTTAACTGTTATAATCAATGCACGTTACTTCTACATTGATCTTGCATTCTGCTTCCGACCCTGTGTCCATATTATCAGCTTATTCTTTAAACAAGAAATGGAGCTATCCCTTGTAGGCCTCCAGAATGCTGGAAAGACATCTCTTGTTAATTCCATTGCTGTAAGTTGACACATACCAAACACTTATTTTGGGGTATTAGTGAGTGGATCTCTTTTAACATTTTTCCTTTTATGTTTACCAGACAGGTGGCTACAGTGAGGACATGATACCAACTGTAAGTATCTTTTCCCTGAACAAATCCCAAATAAAGCATTTGATGGTGTTTAAAAGATGTAGACTTTTCCTCCTATGAAAACCAGGTTGGGTTCAACATGCGCAAAGTTACAAAAGGCAATGTAACAATAAAGCTTTGGGATCTTGGAGGGCAGCGGAGGTTTCGTACAATGTGGGAGCGTTATTGTCGTGGGGTCACTGCGATTCTGTAATGCCACCCATTCTCTTATTCATCTTTTGTTAGGCCATTGTAACTTGTATTTTTGTTTAATTGAATGCCCTACCAGTTAGGAACTAGCATGAAACAATATCTTTTAGTTCCAGGATGATAATCCAGAGTCAGAACCAGACTTCATAATCTGCATTTACCATCAAATTTAATCCATGAAAACTCTAATTTACTCCTGTTGATCTTTCACCAGTTTTTTTCTGTCTTTACTCCTGTTGATCTTTCACCAGTTTTTTTCTGTCTTTTTTTTTTTAACTGCTATCAAATCTTCTACCCTGATAGAGCGCTTGCTTGTGTTAGCTCAGTTGATTATGATGCCTTGTTTGAGATAGGAGTTGGTATAGACTATATTTGGCTTTTTCAATGCCTAGAGTAAAGTACGCACAAAGCCACAACTCTTGTTTTTCGATGTTGATTGTGCACTGATACATGTGCATGCATTTGACTGCATGAGAAGGAGGTCTTTTACACTTCACTTTCCCCCTAGAAAAAAAGTACTAATAATAGACTGCATGCCTCGTTGCGTCCAAAATGCTTACTCTTGCTACATGGGAAAGCATCAATCCCTGAAAGAGAGAAGAAATCGGTCCCATCACACAAAATGAAATCCTAGTCATACAATTTACTGTTATGATAGAAATTCCATCTTCTCCTCAAATTTAAGAAGTCATGTTCCTTTTAGTAATGGAAAATAAGGGAAGATGATATATTTTTTAATTTAAAATAATTTCTCTTATCCCAGTTGTTGTCAGATTCCATTTTTTCTTTTTCTATCACCTTCACTCCTTTAGTTTGTTAGAGCATCAGTGCATGATATCTGATGTTTTCTTCTCCTTGGTGTCTGTTTAATGTACTAACTCTTTTGTTTGTCTTCTGATTGATGCAAAGACAGGTATGTAGTTGATGCAGCTGATAGAGACAGCGTTCCCATTTCAAGAAGTGAGTTACATGACCTCGTAACAAAACCTTCTTTAAGTGGAATCCCTTTGCTTGTTGTTGGCAACAAAATTGACAAGTCAGAAGCTCTGTCCAAGCAAGCTTTGGTGGATCAGCTGTGAGTTAATAAACTGTATTAGTCCTAGTATGCTATGTAGATTCTTTTTCAACTTTTGTCCCTCAATAATCAAATGAAGACATAATTTCCTTTGTTCTTTGTTGGATGGTTTCAGCGGTCTTGAATCAATTGCAGATAGAGAGGTGTGCTGCTATATGATCTCATGCAAGGACTCCATAAACATAGGCATGGTCATCGACTGGCTTATCAAGCACTCAAAAACAGCAAATCCATCAGTAGTTTGACCTTCTCCTAGTCAATGCTTTCTTTTATAGAAAAGAAGGTGAAGAACTTAAGCATAGGTGCAGCGTAGGCAATACAGTGCTTCCTGCTGGAATTTGTTTATTGGTTTTTGATTCCTTGTTTCATTCTGAATGTTCTGTACAGTACCATAATGATTGCAGCGAGTTGTTCATGCAATTTCTTTTAATTTATTTCCTCTTGTATTCTTATTTTCTGAATTTGTGCAAGGCTGCTTGTTTTGTTAGTTTTCTTCTATTTAGTCATGCCGGTATGTTTACTACTGTGCATGTATTTATTGAAGCATGATGATCAATGCCCTAAAGAAATAAAAGCAGCACTTTGTTGAAGGACAGGGATAGTATCATTTGAGCTTATGTGTTTCATGCACTCCTGGAGGTTTGGAGAAAGCAGGAACTAAAGGAATTTTCGAACCCCTCTCTTCTTGAAGGGGAGGAGCATGAAACACCTTTTCCTTTCTGCATCTCTTCCGGCCATATGAAGAATGCTTTATGGATAAGAGTCTTGATCTGCAGCTCCCTAGACCACTAAGAACACGCTCAATAATTGCAAATCAATGTGATAATTTATCCATATTTAAGCGTAAGTGGTGAGTGGTGGCTTGGGATTGGATAAAGCGGAAAGATGTGAGCTGGGATCTGTTAAAACCTAGGCGAAAACAGGCTATGGTGTCAAGTAATTTGTAAACACAAGAAAACTTGCTGGATTGAAAAGGTGAGTACCAAATAGGGTTTCTTTTTCTTATATTGGTCGATAATTAATTAATAATTGTAACCCACATGACGGTTGTGCCAACCATGTCCTAAATTCCAACTAGATTATCATCCCTCTATTAATCAAAGTGCCACCCCATTACTAATCATGGCTGCCACTATGCATTGGAGACCTTGGTTCCTGCAGATGGCAGACAACAGCTATGGGAATTTCGTTAATGGTAAGCATCAAATACTTTATGTTTGTCATAGATTTGTTAACGAATGATTACAATAATGTTGAAAGGTCCTAATTCTTATGCCATTTCACCATCAATCCTAGCCCATGGCTGCTACAATTTCCACTTAATTCTCATTAAAATAACGGAAGAATATGTTAAAACAAACATTGAAAGCACAAATTTGTGATCTGCACAGGTTGTTTCCACGTTAATTCCTGGATCATATAGGACATGTAAGGTATGATCCCAATTTCATGAGTGATTTTCAAGGTTGCATAATTGGTTCCAGTTGTGCGTATTTTAAACAAAACTTTTAGGAAAATCAACGAAGATTTCGAGTTAGTTTCAAGAAAAATATGTTTGTTAATGGTCAAGTCTTTTCTCTAACTTGCGTCTATGGATTTGGTTCATCACGTCTTTAGTTAGGTCTTTTTCTGCTTTCATAGTGCTATATTTCTTCTTCTTCTTTAATAACTTTCTTGACAAGAGTATTGGGTTTTTCAATGAAAAAAATCAAATAAAAAAATAATTAATTTAAATAGATAATAAGACTATAGTTTCTTATATATAATACTTAGATCTAAAAATAATATCAAATACCGTTGTATAAATTGCAACCAAAATTATTAAATTCAATCTAGTTCAAAGCTTGAATTAAATTTAATTGAGTTAATCAAGTTAATATAAAACAATGTCATTTTAAAAAAGTTATTAAATTCAATCTATTTCAAAGCTCGAATTACATTTAATTGAGTTAATCAAGTTAATATAAAACAATATTATTTTAAAATTTATTTTAAGAAAAAAAGTTAAAACAATGTATATTATGATTTTTTATTAAAAAAATCAAACTAAATTTTAACTAAATTTTAATTTAAAATCTAAAAATATTAATTTTAAGTGGTCATCTTTTCTTTTACTAAATTTAAAATTTCAAAAATCATTTTGAGACGTTGTAAAAGCTATTAATTTTTCACTGTCAATTTAGCAAGGACATCTGACCTAACATATTAACTCTCTCTTGTGGGTTTCATATTGTCATAACTTAGCATTTAATGATACCAGAAAGAAAAGGGACACAAGGATCTGAGCTGGGAATCTATAAATGACAAGCTCCATATGGTCCTACTCATGAAGCCAACTAATACAACTCAGTTTGAACAAATTAGATTTGTACCAGAAGCAATTGCAATAGCGAAAGGCAACATAATGCAATTTGATTTGAACATCAAAGGGGTTTTCATTCTTTGTAAAGCAACTTAATACAACTAAGTATCAACAAACCAAAGCTGATCTACCAGAAGCTAAGGCAAAGGATTTTCTAAATTTGTTTAAACACAATATAGCTACAGTTCTGTCAATATGCAGGAAAAAAAAGAAGGAAAAGGTGGAGTTTCTTGCATTGTGTTTGGTTAATGTTATGGGATAGAAGAGATAGATTACAAAAAAACATAAATGTGTTTGGTTGAAGAGATGAAAGCAAGACACATAATAAATATATTTATGTGATGGTTCTAGAGTGAATTTCTATATTTTTAAAATAAAAGGCATACGAAAATATGTCTTCTCTGTTCTATTATCTCTTTCTTTTTGGTCTCGAGGGAGTAACAAAATGCTATCTTGAACATATTTCATATAAAAGAGGCGGGGAAAAAGTATCCAACTCTCTAAGAGAAAGTACTAAAGAAACAGCAGAGAAAAGGAACATGCATCCTTGAATTTTGAAGAGGAACCCCGTGAATAAGTCAAATCTTTGGTTCGATCTTGTAAAACCTTTTCCAACTAATAGTAGTTAGGGAGATGCAAGAGTGTAGAGAACACAAGGGGATAATGATAGGAAGTGACCAAAAATGGCAAGCATGAATCGAATGTCAATCTTAATTATGAAGTGATTTTGTTGAAACTAATCACCAAAGCGTTAAAAAAAGCTGAAGGAGCGAAAGCCATATTTTCTGAAATGTTGTCAAGCGTTGTTTCCCATTAACATGAGTGGCAAGAAACTGGCGTGACCTCAAGAAGGATGCTTCTGTCTTGATCGATATATCACAATGAGAAAGGCAAGACCAAGTCTTTGTCCAAATCAAACTACGAATGGACATGACCCTTGATTGATGATCAACTTGACACAGCGCCTGCCTCTCAAATCATGATTTTTTGTTGCATAATAATGCCTTGATCACTCATCTCCTATTAAAAAAGCCTATGGATAACAAAATCTGACACAGCAAGAGCTTAACATCCATGACCAAAAGCTTACAAAGGAAAATACCAAAGAAAAAGTAAGTAATGATGTTGGACCATGTACTCAACTGAAATAATTTGCTGGTTATTCACACTTCACACAGCCAAGTAAGAACACTACTGTTGGAGTTCTCCTATAAAATACAGCATCAAAGGTAAAACAAAATGCAGAAGTAAACTGCAGCTATGAAAACAGGTAAAGGAAAAATGAGCAGAAGGAAATGGGAAAGGAGTTCACAAACAAGATGAACCCAAGAATAAACAAACAAATGAAGCACTGCATTAAACAATGTATGAAAACCGGGAAACATGGAGAGATTTATCATTTTTTTTTTTTTGTCATTTAAGAAGATGGTGGTGCATCTGAATCAACCCAATAAGTATGTTAAGAGGACTTGTCATCGATAATGTCATGTTCTTGTGAGCTAGAACGACAAAGGTCCTCCATTCGGCTTCTCACCTCGGACATTGAAGGGCGGTTATCAGGATATTGAGCAGTGCAATCGCTTGCAAGCTGTAGGAGCTGAACCATATCCTCCTCTACAGTCTGGTATCGAAGAAGCTCAGGATCAAACACCTCAGCAGACCATTCTTCTCTGACAACAGATTGGACCCATCTTGGAAGGTCTACGCCCTCATCATTCAATTGCGTATGTGTTGGAGCCTTTCCTGTGAGCAATTCCAACAGCAATATACCAAAGCTGTAGACATCAGCCTTTTGGGATACTTTACGAGCATCTGTCACTTCTGGTGCACGATAGCCATCGATGCGGTTGGGAGTGGGGGTAGGACCTGCTAGGTGTGCAAGGCCGAAGTCAGAGACACGGGCTCCAAACGAAGTGGTGAGGAGGATATTTGATGACTTAATGTTTCCATGAGAGTTTGCAGGGCCCTGAGAGTGGATGTACGCAATCCCTCTGGCAGCTCCAAGAGCAATGCCAGACCTTGTCTCCCAATTCAATGGAGTCCTGCCAGAACCTTTATTTCCTGCAGTTGAAACCCAATGTTATAACAAGCAAAAGCACAGCCAACATTGCATAAGTTACCTTAATCTGGTGCTCATGTATCTCAATTCTCAACATTATCAAATAGTTTCAAAAGACAGATGCTAACATCTACACATAAAACCATGATTGAATGCTTTCAAGAGACCAGTATGCAACTATGAACTGCAGTTGTCCATTTATAACTATTCTCTCAAGGCAGTTTATGAGGACTTCAATTGTCAACTATACAATGAAACATGACTTCTATCAAATAAAAGCATGGTTTAGGATTTTAAATTACAAGTGGTAAATCTCATTCTGCAAAATGCGATTTCCAGAGAGGAATTACATGACAGAATTATAGGAAAGTATAAACAGTTTTATTACATGAAAAATGAATGTCAGAATACCCAAAATCAAGTAATTGGTCTTGAAAGACAACAGAATCATATACCACACATATGAAAAATCCAATAATCAAGACGGTTAGGAAAGAAAAAGAACAGAAATTATAAGGAACCAAAAGGGAATTAAACATTATGAAAAAAGAAGGCAATGCTCACCATGCAAAAGTGCAGATAAGCTTCCCATGGGCATGTAATCATGAACAAGAAGCTTTTCATCCCGGCTGTAATAATAAGCCCTCAATGGAACCAAGTTCTCATGATTCATATTTCCAACCCCTTCAATCTTCTCTCTAAATTCCTTCTCCGGTACCGTTACTTCCTTCAGCCTCTTCACAGCCACCACCAACCCCACATCCAAAGTGGCCTTATAGGCAGTACCAAACGTTCCCTTCCCCAAAACCTCTGCGGAAGCTTTCAACAAGTCCTCCAAATCAAATGCCCTCACCGCGTTCCCAAAGAACACCAAATTCTTAGTCCCCCTACTCTTAGCTTCACTTTTCACTACCGCCCCACTTTGTCCTGCACTCACACTAACACTCCCCCCTGCCGCCTTCTCACCGGGGATCTCAACTTCTCTCTCCCTTGGCTGCTCAGCATCTTTAGACCCTACTTCTTTTTTGTCTCTCTTTCGTCGACACAAGAAGATCAAGATCAATAA